TACGAGTAAACATAGTTACATGGTTCATGCGTTTGCTTTGATTTGTAGTTTAATTGATTACAGCGTAAACTGTCATGGTTCAAATACGTCCGCGGATTATTCTCAGTTGTTGTTCTATGATTTTCCTGAACATTCGAATATTTCGTTGAAAATTCAACTGATATGTCTTCTCCCTCTCTCTCTCTCTCTCTCTCTTGAAATATGAATAAAATAATTTCTTCTTTTTTTTTTCTTTTCGTAGCTCACTTTAAAATATTCACCGAGATCATTTTTATACGTTTCTTTAGTGAATGGATGAAAGTTGTAATGAACGTAGAGCTATCGAGTTTCCTAGAGCTTTCCTTCTTTTTTTTCTTTTTTTTCTTTTTTTTTCCTTTCTTTTTCTTTTCATCAAGAATCACGAAAAAGTGCCATGGAAAAAATATACGTACGTAAAGATTATCGACGATCGTTATACATTAGTCATATTTCAAAATCTATTTAGCTTTTGACACTAGTAATTTCTCTTTCATCATAGGCTCCACTTTTTATTTCCTTTTTCCTATCATTCAATACATAGTGAAGATCTACGCTCATAGATTATCCTACGAAAGTTTTCAGCAGAAAAAAAGATACATAAGAAGAAAGAGAGAGAACTTAGATCATGTTGGATGATGTGAGTTAGGGACAAAGAAATTTCTCTTTGAAACTCGAATGGCTCGTATACAGATCGTTTCAAACTAACTTCTTGAAGACATAGATACGTTTCCTTTGGATATAACTTATAAAATAGAAAAATAGTGCAGATGGATGAAAGTTGAGTTCGATTTCATATATACTCTTTAATCTTCGGAATTATTCAATATGAATATATATACATATATATGTGTATATATATATATATATATATATATATATAAAACTATAAATCGTACACGTGTACATAATTCAAGAAAATCGATTCCTATGGAGTTAAAGAACGAATAAAAATAAAACTCAAGAACCATTATATCCAGTTCCAGCAATAAACTGAAAGAATTATTAGAGTATTTTAGTCTATAATTTCTGAATTGGAAAGACAATGATCGTATATTCGAGTGCGTGTAAATATATCTTTACCATTTAATTTATTACTATGAACTGGTAGGTCTATGAGCCGTGAAGCAAGGTAACGTGGCAATAATGTAACTTTCTTACCGTTCTGGCCAAACTATAGGCACAAGCAAGTAAGCTTGTTTTCGTGTTGGAGATAGAGACAGATAGACAGATAGATAGATAAAATAGATAAAGAGAGAGAGAGAGAGAGAGAGAAAGAGAGAAAGAGAGAGAGAGATTTCGATCGACCACACTAATGTCAACCCTTAGTAACGATATCGTTTGCTATCGGTGGTCGTATTTGTTACGCTGCTGGCGATCGGGGGTTTCTCGTCTGGTTAGTTTCGGTTCTTCTCCTCGGGTAGTTTAATTGCTAAATTGACCTTGGTAGATTCAGAGGCCTCTCGTGCCTTCCCACGCACCTGCCCTCGATCTTAAATCCCTCTTTCTCTTCTTCTTCTTCTTGCTTTTCTACTACTACTGTTACTACTCTTACTTCTTCTTCTTCTTCTTCTTCTTCTTCTTCTTCTTCGTCTTTTTTTTCTTCATCTTCTTCTATTCTTCTTACCTTAGGAGAAAATAAGAGCGAGAAGGAGGATACGCTTAGAGGAGACTGACGAATGCCTTTACGAGGGTTTCACTGTTTGAGGGTCTCGAACTCCTTTAGCTCAGAGAAAGGTGATTCTACTCTCTCAATCAAGAGAGGGGAAAATATATATATATATAGGTGGGAAGCTCGTTAAAACCCCTCGCCGCGATTTAACAAATGTAAGGGATGTTAAGGAAGAATCGCGGTAATCGAGCGACGTGAAATTGGATTGGTCCCGAGTTCGAGTTTAAAGGGCCTATTTATCTGAGAGTTTCTTCGATTCTAATTACGATATATCTGTGCATATATCTATTTACGGCAATGTACGTTGATATTAACTAATTTGTATGGACGACTTTTTCCATTACTGATGATCGATAAAAACAATCATCGTCGATAAACAAAATTAATTAATTCGATTTATTTTGCTTCGATGTTTTTCTGTTTTTGTTTTTTTGGACGTGCGGTTTGTTTTTTTCATGAAAAAAAAAAAAAAAAGAAGCAACCTTCTTAATATTCGATAAACGTTGAGTTTGTAAACTTGTAAATTTTTTTTCCATAGCTCTCTCGTACGTAACGCAACTCGTTCGCTATAAAATCTCCGCTCATTGACGATGTACGGCGCGAAGCGAGCTATAAATGGCTCCACTTGCGTGAACTCATAAAAATCCCCGAAATTGCGGATCCGCCATCGATACGGGCGGAATATTAATTAAAATGCTACATGGGGACGTGGGCCGTGCCAGTAACGTCGACGGAAAGTAAGCCGGGCCAATAATATCCGACAACGCAACGTCGAAATTCCTATTACGTGCGATCGCACGTTTTCCGTTCGCGTCCGTTTTGAATTACGAGCGGAAAGTGTAGAACGATCGTAAAAGGCCGTAAGGCGGGGGTTGGAGAAAGCAAAGAGCGTATTTAAACGAAACGCGTTTCGCCTTCGAAGCAACGCAAAGTGGTCAATAAGTTGCTAAAAGTTTATTGAAGAGAAACGACATTGTTTCTTTTTCTTAGTCCTTTTTTTTTTTTTTTTTTTTTTTTTTATTTTTACGCACGCTCACAAATTTCAATGAAGTAGGAGGGAAAAGAAAAAATAGAAAAAAAAAAGTTATCGATATAAGATACATATAAATCGAAATTTAGGATTGACATCGTGAAGGAAAAAAATTACTTTTCAATAATAACATTTATACTTTTTTTTATACCTTGCTCATAATAATAATAATAATAATAATAATAATAATAATAATAATAATAATAATAATAATAATAATAATACATGACTCTCGATTATCATCTTTTATAAATATTCAAGTATTCCCTAACATATATATTACATCGTATCATTGAGAGTTTAAAAAAGTTTGATAAACATTTAAAAACAAAATGAAAAATGTCGTCAAGTATCGAATAATGATACGTTCCAAAGATCAATCGATTTTATCGAGTTACCAAAGAACTTTCTTTAAGTAATATTATATTCCTTGTGGTCAAACGAATTAAATGGCAAAGGAGGATCGTATATGATTGGACATTCGAGTGTGTACGATCAATTTACTTAAGTAGAGAATATCCGTGCACGGTTAGACGATAGAATTATACTTTACTGTTTTACATACACGTTGAATAATACTTCGAAATGATATAGAAATTTCATTGAATCAATGAAACTTCGGGATTTCTTATCTGCCATCATTGAAATCTATAACGGGATTGATTTCACAATGAAGTAATTAAACGATTGATTTTAAATCATCCCTTTTAAAGATATTCTTCGTTAGCTTACGGATGATTGAATAAAGCATTCGATTGATCGCACTCGGACAATACGTTCATAATGCAAATACTTTGCATTCAAGAGAGAGAGAGAAAGAGAACACTCTTTTCATTTGGCTGTCTTTTATTACGACCTTCCACTTTTTAATTTGATCGATCCTTTTAAGATCCGTTTATCGAAAATACTTTTTTTCACCGCACAATACTTTGTTTGTATAAGTCTACGAAGAAAAAAAAAAGAGGAAAGGGAGAGGTGGAGAGGAGGAGGGGGGGGGGGGGGAATAAAAAAGTTTACGTTTCTATTCGCGAAGGAACGTAATTCGTTTTTTCTATTTCTTTCTTTCTTTCTTTCTTTCTTTTTTCTTTTTTAATTTTTTTAATTTCAGTTCATTTTATCCTGTACCTGCGGAGTCACACTCCTAACGTCGATTTTCATCCGGCGACGATCCTAATTCCGGATTTAAATGGGATATAAGAAGATCAGTAACGAAACTGGAATAACACGGGCCGAATATTCCGGGCCGTGTGATGCGTTAATGTCATGCTAAGATCGATTTTGTATTCCACGCGTCACTTCACAGCCCTGAGTTAAGTACGAGCTTTTCGAAATTTCTCCCATTTTAATGGCGAAGCTTTCCGTCTGTCTCCTTTTATCTTTTTCATACGCAACGTTATCTCTATTAAAATATACGATTATAATCTGTCAACGTTTATACGAATCTAAGGGGAAAAGAAAAATCAATGATAAATTTTTAACGATTATTGTTTTATTTTTCTATTCTTTTTTCTCTTTTCCTTTTCCTTTTATTTGCTCTATTTTTTTCTCTTCTTTTCTTTTTCCTTTTTTTTTTGTTCGCGCAAAGAAAGGACAATGTTCATGCCTAACGATATCGAGCATGGCGGCCACGGATATCGAGTATTATGACCAATGAATAATAATTAACGAGATGATTTGGATACGTTCACTCAAAGGTGTATATCTTAAGTACCGCATTAAATCGCGACGAAAGTGCCTCTGGTCGTCTAATTAAATGTCCCGTAAGGGAAGGAAGACGTTGGAATACGCTTTACGAGCGGCGATTCGTATTAATATACCAACTTTCATAGTATATTCTCTCTCTCTCTCTCTCTCTCTCTCTCTCTCTCTTTCTCTCTTTCACTCTTTTTCTCTCTCTTTCATCGCTTCTCACCCTCGCATACTTTATACCGGCCGCATAAAAATAATAATTAATATACATGAGACTAGGTACCTTCTTTAATCAGCCCCTAAGGCTAACACACCCTCCACCATGCCACCACCATGAGATTACGGGATATTAAAATTGTTTATACTTGATAATTAACATTCCTGGAAAATAGCGAGTTCAAAAATCGTAGCTAACGAATTATTTATCATAAAAAAAAAAAAAAAAAAAAAAAAAAGAAAATAAAAAAAACAAAAGAGAAAGAAAAAAAAAAGAAAAAAAGAGAGAGAGGGAAAGAGAAATGGAAAGAAGAGAAAAAGAAGAAAAAAAAATAATAATAAAGAAGATTAATATCCGATATCCTTTCGTTCGTTCATTTATACGATTCAGAATTTTTTCTTCAATTTTCTTTTAAAAAGAGAGAAAGAGTTTTTCCTTTCGACCTTTCTCAAGCGAGTTCGAGAGCTAACTCGATATTATACGAATCGAGTAATCTGCGTCTTCTTCTTCTTCTTCTTCTTCTTTTTCTTCCTCTTCTTTCTCCTCCTCCTCCTCCTCCTCTTTCTCCTCTTTTTCTCTTTCTTCTTTTTCTTCTTCATCTTCACCTAAACTTTTAGTCGTCGCGATGTAAATCGTCGTTAATGAACGTAGCCCGACCCTTTCTCTCTCTCTCTCTCTCTCTCTCTCTCTCTCTCTCTCTCTTTCTTTCTCGGAAGGAATAAATTTCTTTTCACTTCCAACGAATTTCCCCGAAGGGAGAACTAATTTCTTCAAAGGGAAATCGATTTTTCTCTCTCTCTCTCTCTCTCTCTCTCTTTCTCTCTTTCTCTCTTTCTCTATCTCTCCCCCTACTCAAGTTTTTTTTTTTCTAATTCTCTTTACCTCCTCGTAGTACATCATCGTAGAAAATGTTTTAGTTATCGCGTTTTACTTACGATCGTTTCGTGTTCTCGATTGTTTTGTCTTTTATAACACTATGGCAAACGTTTTCAAGGCAGACCGTAAGCGATAAGAAAAGAAACGAACGACGAATAACTCTCCCCCTTTGGCACAGCATTAGAGGAACGATTATTTTCTGCCAGTTACACTTTGCTTAATTTGCTTCGCTGTTACGTTAACGCGAACCTGGTCCCTTCTTTTTCCCTTTTTTTTTTCCTCTTTTCTTTCTTATATTTTAAATTACTCTTTAAACGTCCGATAAGAAAATTTGAATAATGCCCCTTTATCACGTACAAAGTAGTCCTATGCGTAATTAGTTGGAAATTAATTATAGAGAATTTTAACGGCCTATTAGACATACAACGCAAGAGGAATTTGCTCCTTTTGTTAGATCAATCTTCGAAAGATCATCCTTATAAGATCCTTCAATGAACTTATGAAAAGAGAATGAATACGAGAAGACATAATCCTCTACATATATATATATACATATATATATATATATATATGTATGTATGTATGTATGTATGTATATATGTATGTATGTATAAACTCGAATACAAAGCTATGGAATGCAGGATATTTGAGTAACATCACGCCTTGGAAATTCTTTTTAAAGTCTCTCTCACTTATTCTCTTCTCTCCATCGTATCAACCTTACTCGCATCAACTTTCTCGTTTCGTGCCGAAAAGTAGAAGTGCTGCAATTCAACACCGAAGAACAGAACGCTCGGGTGCTCCTTTGTTGCTGCATCAGCGCATAAACGTCTTCGAGACGTGTTGCTATCCTTCTACCAACCATACTCACGAGAATATGATGCTCTTTCGAGACGCGAAGATCTTGACGTTATTTACGACATCTCAAAGTCTTCGTTATTAATCTTCTTGATCCGCTAGAAAATGACGTTGAGATTATTATTATAACTAAGACGTGTTAAACAAAACAAAATAACATTTTATATATATATATATATATATATAAGGGATATTTAATACGAAAGAGGTATCTAAAAATGATGTGAAAAAAAGAGAGAGAGAGAGAAAACTCTACTTGAGAATCTATTTACTCGATCCACTTACTCCCGCCATCTCCATAAATCTTTTCCCCGAAAAGAGGTAAAATTTTTACGAGAACTTTAACTTATATAGACGCGAACACTTCGTGAGAAGTTCGCTTCTACGGCACTTCGCCTTTCATCATCATCATCATCATCATCATCATCATCATAATCTTCCATATCATATGATTATCATATCCAACTGATAAGGACCGATTAAGTACTTGTCTAGAGTAAGATGTTCTAAACGAGCCGTAATACACCTAGAGTTCGTTCTAAAAGTTCGATAAGCAAACCTTTAAAAACGGTCGTAAGTAGTTAACTAGTGTTCGGCTACACGACTTCCGCAATATTTGTAGTGTCCCGAGAAAGCAACGAAGGAGTTCGTTGGCAGATACGACCGTTATCAGAGAGATGGTCTCTATGGTTTGAGTAGTGGGAGGTTGTACGAGCTTGTGAGAAGATCATGCTTCCAAAGTAGTAGTAGCGATAGCGGTGCTGGTAACATTGGAGGTGCGCTTTTCGTTAGGACCTGGAAGAGTAAAAGAGGGTGAAACATGGGGTAGAAGGGTGGAAGCGGAGGAAACGGGAATTATAGAGAGAGCGTGAGAGAGAGAGAGAGAGAGAAAGAGTGTGTATGAAGGAGGAGGAAGAGGGAAGGATTGCTTCGGCAGAGTTATTTAGCGGGAGGCGTTGTTCTGGCTCGCGTACTATGTGGGTCGCCGCCGGCTTAGTACTGGCGGGTAAGCCTCATGAAACATGAGTATCCAACGGGATGACACCACTAACTCCTTTATGGAGATGGAAGCTTATGCATGAATTGTGAGGATAGGCGAATCCTACCGTTTCCTTGCCACCACGTACCTCATAACAAACACATACTTACGTGTACTTGTGTATATGTAGGTGTATAGGTCCTAATATGCGATGTCATCTTTTGGATCCACTTAACCGAAGGATCACTATATGTCAACAGATACATTTATATATATATATATATATATATATATATACCTAAGTAATTCGACTTGAATGTCTCTTATCTTCTATGGTTTTACGTTTGTCAAAGTATTGATGTCAATGTCCTGGTTGTTAAAAGCTGTACGTAAAAGGAAAATGGAAGGAAGGAAGGAAGGAAGGAAGGGAAAAAGCTCAATAAACGTCAAAAAAATTCCAAACGTTCAACGTTTTCTTGTTCTTGGTTGGACTCGTTATGTAACGGTACGGTACACGATGGGACCACGGAATAGTGATAGAAAGTTCGAAAATGTCTACGTTCACTCGCTTCGATTCTCTTTGCAGGACGTCAAAAACTTTCCATCGAACGAGTCGAACGTGAGCGGCTTCCCGTATCCTCAAGAAAATCGTCTGAGTTGACGTCGTCTTGGTCTACGAGTTTGCGAACATTCGCTACCTGCTTCTTCGATACTTTTATTATACGATAAATCGCGATTAAATAAATCGCACCTCATTCCATGAGAGAAACGCTCGCCGCATTCTTAACGATGTTTCGGAATAATTGCTTCGTGGATTCCTTCGGGCACGACACGCTTATTCTCATTAATTTCCTTACTTCGAGAAGGCGACTGGGAAGGTTGGTTCGTTCGTTCGTTCGTTCGTTCGTTCGTTCGTTCGTTCTTCGAAGAAGAAGAAGAAGAAGAAGAAGAGAGCGTAGCGAGTTTCAAATTCCTCGTTAAATGAATTTACTATTAATTAGTCGATACGTTCGAAACATTATAGGTTTTTAAAACGTTGATATTTTATGTCCTTATCGATCGATGGAAAAATTTACAAGTAAAAAAGGAGGAAAGAAAAACTTTCAAATGGAAGAAATAAAAAATAGAAAAAGATGTCAAATCTAATCGAATACTGAATTAAGTGAAACGTGTTTTCTAATTATGTTTAGATTCATTTAACATGCATTAAAACGTTTCGCTAACCCAATCGCTTCTCCTGAGTTTTCCACTACGTTCCATAATTGAACGAAAGAGCGAGAGAAAGAGAAAAAAAAGAGAGAGAGAGACAGAGAGAGAGAGAGAGAGAGAGAGAAAGAAACAGGTTCGATCTTTAAATTTAGTCTAAACGAAATTCCAAATTGTTCTTCTTTCTCTTCCCTTCCCTATCACTTCTATTTCATCCTTTCTCGGGTTCATTAAATCAAATGGCGCGTACAATATTCAACTGGCTGGGACCCTTCTTGAAGGGTGTAAAATAAAAAAAGGGGAATGACTTACGTGCCTATTATTTACAATACGTAACGTAACGTAGATATTTTAATCATCTATATTTTCTAAACTTATGATAAAATATAAAAGTAAAAGTCATTTTGATTAATCGAAATAAAAATTTTCAATTAAATTTTATCGTATTAGAATAATCGTCGAAACGTGATCTTTATTATTTATGTATATAATTTCGGTAAAATATCGAAGGGATAACGGGAAATGGTTGCAAGAAGAATTTCCAGAGGACTTTAACTAGTAACGTAATAACGAAGTACGATGCTCGTTTCTAGAAAGTAATATGTAAGAGGAAATAAGCTCTATCTCTCTCGTCGTACGTTTCGTGATATCTAACAGTCCCATCTCTAGCAGTGAAAATCGTTGAAAACTTAACTGCCTTCTCTCTCTCTCTCTCTCTTTCTAAAGCAAGAACCCGATGTTCCGGCTCTTACTCTCCGATATTTATGCGACTTTTCGTTCGCTTAATTGCCCGCCGAAAGAAGTTACGCCGTAATTAACGCTATCATTCGCGGCTCGTGACTCGTGGCTCGCCATTTCACCTTGAGTTTCTGCAAGAGAGAGAGAGAGAGAGAGAGAGAGAGAGAGAGAGAGAGAGAGAGAAAGTGAGTGAGTGAGTAAGAAAGAGAGAGAGAGAGAGTTTCCCCGACATCTGTCCTTGATATCTGTTTATTCGAAATGAAAGTTTTTCGCTCGCGTTAAGATATTGTATATGCATGTATTAAATTAAATCGATATCATTGCCTCTTGCAAATCTTTCCTAATTGTTCTAAATTTGTATGGTATCATTCAATTGATTCATTTATATATTGAATCAAATAATTATAATAAATTCAGATAAGTATACGCTCTGTGCAAAAAAAAAAAATAATCGTATATTAGTAATATAAGTAATATGAGAGAGAGAGAGAGAGAGAGAGAGAGAGAGAGAAAGATATTCTAAATACATTTTAGGTATTTCAATTAATTTGAAGATAAGCAAAAAGAAAGAAGAGAATATACTAACGTTATTTACAAAGTACCTTCTACGCCGACGGTTCACGTTAGACTGATAGTGAGGATATGTCAATATACGAGTGACTCATGCGTACACGAGTATTTTGTTTACGAAAAGAAAGATCGAGAGAGGAACCAAGGACGTCTTATTCTAAGAACTAAAACATAAAAGATCTAAATAGATAAACGCGACCTAGTATCATTGTACGTCTTAACGCGACGGAGTAATCAACTCTCTTACGTTACATGCTCTTATTTTACATAGATCTAGTAAAATATTTCCTATATACGTACATATAAATATATTTCATACAATTCAGTAAAAATATATCAACGAATAGAAAATATCGTATAATTTAATGTTAAATAATTTCGAACGTGTGCGTGTTTGTGTGTGTGTGTGTGTATGTGTATAAAATTTGTACAACGTCATTTCGAGAAGAACGAATCCAAATGAAAATATTTCTTCCTTAACAACCCTCCTTCCTCCCCCACCTCCCAGTGACAGGATTTAAATTATATGGTTATGATCTTTTGAAAAGAAGTCCTTCATCCCTTATGCAAGATGTTCTATTATAAGGGTAACGTGCCCGACCAATTTGTTCTCACGCGATACCATCTCGTTCTTTCGTAGAACGAAATTAAGTAAAGATAATTTAGAAAGCGACAGGGAGTTGTCTCCTTAATGCCACTTAAGGAGCGATTTAAATTTAGAGCCGTGACATCGTACTATGCGCTCTCCTTCAACGAGCATCGAGTCTAGATTATTTTTCTTCTTCTTCTTCTTCTTTTTTCTCTTTCTTTTACGTTGTTTTTCTTTTCTTTTTTTTTTCTTTTCTTTTCTTTTTTTTTTTTTTAAACTACATTCGAAGTGTATACAAGAGTGGGGGAGAAGTTTTGTGCATCGTGCCGTAACACTATTTCGGCAACGTAAAAATAAGCCATTACAAACACGTGTCCTCGTCGATTAGCATAATGCCGCTCGGGTGACTCTTGCGATGGAAAAGCTAAAGCTAAAGGGAAAGAGAAAAAAGGAGAAAGAACAAAGGGGAAAGAAAAGGAAGAAGAAGGAAGGAAGGAAGGAAGGAAGGAACAACGAAAAAAAAAAAGTAAAAAAAAAGAAAATAAAAGCAAAAAAAAAAAAAAAGAGACAAGACTAAAGAAAAAAGAAAATGTATTAATACAGGTCGTAGTATTAAGCCCTTAAAACTGTATAGACCTTTTTGGAGGTCCAGGTGGCGTGCATGTGTTCACGCGAAAGTCATTATACACGTTCGCTTTTTCTCCCTTCGCAAGGGACACTTTTCTTTTACCTTCTAGTTACCCACTCAGGAACCTTCGTGAACTTTCTCGCGAGCCCTTGAAAGTCAACATTATTAAGAAATATTCAACGATAAAATGTACTTTAGGTACATTTTTTGCGTTTCTTTATATAAATCAATTGAAAGAACGTTCAAAGGTGATCTCGATGGACGATTATTTACAAGAAAAAAAGAAAGAAGAAGAAAACATCAAAAAAGAGACAGACAGATAGATAGATAGATAGATAGAGAGAGAGAGAGAGAGAGAGAGAGAGAGAGTGTGTGTGTGAGAGAGAGAGAAGGAAGGAGAAGTAAGAGAAGAGAATTTTATTTGACTGATTCGATTAATTCGACGAAAGAAAAGTCATGCCGGAAGTTGAGTAAAAGTAATTAAACGCTCGCAAAGTCTCACCTCGTAATTAGATAAAGCTAACGGTACCTACCATAGAAGAGAGACGTTACCAGCAATCTCGTCTTTCAAGCTCGCCACTCTCTTATACGAATCCTTCGCTATCGTTATTTGTTTATAATTAGCAGGCTGCCGTTGGTTGGTGGTAGGACGACACAAAAGAGAACGCCGCGGGCAGGTACTGTAAAGGTTTGAGAAGAGAGGAGTACCTGAGAGAGAGAGAGAGAGAGTGAGAGAGAGAGAGAGAGAGTACGATAGAAAGGGTGAGAGAAGGGAATAGAGAGAGAGAGAGAGAGAGAGAGAGAGGGTGGCAAAAGGATTTGGCTGGAGCGACGTTTAAACTCGAGAATGCGGTGGCTCGGTGTGACATCGTTAACAAGCAACAACTTTCCGGCATTGTTTTCTCGCGGAGCCGACAAACTGGGCTAATTGCTGCAAGCTTCTGACCTATTCCGCAAAAGAGAGAGAGAGAGAGAGAGAGAGAGAGAGAGAGAGAGAGAGAGAGAGAGAAAGATAGAGAAATAAAGAGAAAGAGAAAGAGAGAGAGAGAGAGAGAGACTCGCGTAATTGGCTGCTTGCGGCCAACGATTTTCCTCGTCCTCGTCGACGATGCAACTATTCCCTGGGAATGGCTGAAGCTTCGCATGACTTCCTAACCCATTCCCCTTCTGCCCTCTCTCTCTCTCTCTCTCTCTCTCTCTCTGTCTCTCTTTCTCCTTATCTTTACTGTCCATTTGTCCGTACGTCTCTCTCTCTCTCTCTCTCTCTCTCTCTGTCTTTCTTTCTCTTTTTTACTTGTACTCCTCCATCCGACGTAAAAAGCACGTCCTTACTTCCTTCTCTTCCTCCTCTTACTCCTCTTTCCACATTGCAATCGTCGCGGCTTATTAACCTCGCTCTCGGCTAATTAGCCGTAATCGCGACGACGTGCACCGCTTATGCCGGCCGACGTGCCGATGCCACTAACTTCGCATCTCTCGTAAATGTGTGTAAGAGAGATAGAGAAATAGAGAGAGAGACAGAGAGACAGAGAGACAGAGAGACAGAGAGAGAGAGAGAAAAAGAGAAAGAGATGGGATATGCTATATGTGAATCGCAGTTTGTTGCAAATATAAGAAGTGTCCCGATTTTTTTCCTTTTTATCCCTTTTCTCTATTCGCAAGTGGATTATATAAACTCTTACGTGCGCGTACGCGTACGTGTGCGCCCGTATATGAGGTCGCGTAATCCGTGCCATTTCTATACGTTCGACCTTACTTCCTTTCTTCATTTTATTTTCTTCTTCATTTTTTTATTTTTTCTTTTTTTTCTTTTTTTTCTTTCTTCTTTTCTTTTCTTTTCTTTTCTTTCGTTTTCGTTCCTCCGTTCATTCGACGCTCGTAAATGAAAAGGAAAATTGAAAATGTGTGCATCGACGAACAAGAAATAAGTATTTCTTTTTTTTTTCTTCTTTTTTTTTTTTTTTTTTTTATTTCTTTTTACGATTATGCAACAAGAAAACTTATTATCTATTGGTTAGGTGGAAGGAAAACGTTGTGGCAAGTTAAAACGATCATTAAAGAATTTCGAAAGAGCTCCATTCTTTCTTTCTTTCTTTCTTTCTTCCTTTCTTTCTTTCTTTCGTTCTTCCTTTTTCCTTTTTCCCTTTTTCTTTTCTTCCTTTCTTTCTCCCTCTACGACGGAAACAACGGAAACGAGGGGAAAGCGAGGAACTTAGTTATCGTAGAAGCTCCGTCTGACCCAGAAAGACATTTTTCTCTCGTCGACTAACCAGAAAAAAGAGAAGAAAAGGAAAAAAAGAAACTTCACTTTTCGCGATATTTCTTTCATCGGTGTTTTTTCGTTCATCTTTTTCCCTGTTTCTTTTTCTTTTTTTCTTTTTGTTTCTTTTTCCTTTTTCTCTCTCTCTCTCCCTCTCTCTCCCTCTTTCTCTCTCTTTGTCTTACATCTATATACAAGAAGAACAACGATAATTACGCGACATACATATGTATATGTATATATATATATATATATGTATATATCGAACTTCCATTCACCTACATAATTAACAATTTTTTCCCTTTCCTGACAGACAATAACAATTTTCCGATTCGTCCAACAAATACTATCGTGTATGATTTGAAACGTGACAACGTCATTCAGAACATTTAATTAACCTTCCCGATATATATATATATATATATATATATATATACATATATATATGTATTCATATTTCGTATCATATTTGTATATATAGTTAAAACAATATCTAATATTACACGTTCGAATAAAATTGTTCCAATTCTCAACGTGTGCGGCCAGCCAACGTGTTAACGAAGTTGGAATCAAAAAAAAAAAAAAAAGGAAAAAAAAGAAAAAAAAAAGAAAAAAACAAATACACGACAAAAAAAAAATGAAAGGAGAAAGAGTAGCGGAACGAAGCAGCGTACACTTTGTTACTTCGATAAATCGATTCACTTCGATATACTCGAAGCCAGGTCGGGTTTTATAACGACAACGATGAAACGTGCTACGATATGTATATTTCGCGATGCGTTGTAGTGTCTATTAATTAAAAGAGCGCATCTTCGTGAAAGTTTTTACGTTCATTGGATAGGAAGGGTTTGGGAGTAGAAGGAGGCAAGTAGACGAGGAGAAAAAAAAGAGGAAAAATTAAAAAAAAAAAAGAAAAAAAAAGAAAAAAAAAAGATAAAAAAGAAAAAAGAAATAGAAATAATTGCGAACGGGCGGAAGGTACGCATATGGAAAAATTCGAACAGCGAATAGAAAATGTGCCCTCTTGAAAAGTACAGAGATGTTTCTGTGCTGCTAGTTGCTCATAGAATGATACCTCTTTACCTCTCGCACTCTTTTCCCTCTCCGCCAACGTTTTCTAGCTGTTCCTTCATCGTTGAGATCTGGTGCTTTCAAATTATTCCATTTTCCTCTAGGATGCGTTTTATACGTAGACTTCGTTTCCATTAGGAATGCGTGATATTCCGTGGAAAACGTAGAGAGAGAAAGAGAGAGAGAGAGAGAGGTGAGAGAGAAAACTATGTCAACGGTAGTGATCTTTCTTTTTTTTTTCTTTTTTTTTTTTTTTATTTTCTTCTCACAAACATCTGACAAATCAAGGAAGATGACGGTAATGGCTCGCAAGTTATTTCGTTACCTCGTTGTTTACTCTCATATAGCTGTTTATAAGCTCTAGTTTTATACAGATCCAGAAGCAGAGTATAATTAACAAATTGTTGACTGTTTACGAGTATACTCACGTTTACACAATACACATACATGCATGCAACTTATCTAATTATTATAGTATAAAATTCTATGTTGTTATT